GCAGATGCCCTCGATTTTCGGTAAGTGAATGTGTTTAATTGTAGGCAGGGACATTACTGGATATTCTTGTGTAATTGCTACAGAATAATTTATGTTATACTTTGTTATTGCTACAGAAGAATATTTATTTTATTATTTTACATTTACAATTTTTTTTCCTGGGGACCCCGTGACACCCCATTGAAGAGCCATAGGCTGGATCTCTTAAGGATCTCTTAAGATCTCACTGTTGGGTTTGTAAGGCCATGTTACTCCTAAATTTCTATCTTGTTCAAAGAGAAGATATAAAACAAAGTTCTAAGCTAATTGACCTTAGTGTTCTCCTTTTTAAAAAAAAAAAGAATCGATAAGAGAATCGATAAAGAATCGAATCGTTAAACAGAATCGAAAATGGAATCGGAATCTTGAAAATTTTATCAATACCCATCCCTACCAGTATATCAAAGTATAAGACATGACATTTCCTGTTCCCACTACGTGGTGCTCTGTGTATTCCTAACAATGGGCGTATCAATCTATTCAGGGCAGGTCTGTCATCATGCCTGTAAAGTCTGGTACTGATCAGACTGGATTTCTTTGAGTTATACTAATTTGTTTCTTCATGGCGAGACATCAGTGTTCGCCATGCTGCTGGGGTCACACCCTTTCCTGAAGACGCACACATTTCAATGTATTGCCAACTCCTTAAGGCTTTCCTGGAGAAATATGAGGCTGCACACGTCACCCACCACAAAATCAGTATATCAAAGTATAAAACAGGACATTTCCTGTTCCCACTAGGTGGTGCTCTCCCTGATGTCAAATATGGCTATTGAAATATGTTAAGGGGTGAAGCCTTATCATATGTGTGTACTTCGGTCAAGATTGGACAATGTATGACAGAATGAGAGGCAGTAAGATTTTCATGGCGAATCATCGAAATTCACCGTGGCGCCACGGCCATACCATTTCCCAAAAACTCAAAAGCTCCGCAATTTCACATGGCCCAGGTGTGTAGTTGATACTGACCAAATATGAAGCTTATACAATCAAATCCCAAGGAGGAGTTCGCAAATGGCATGAGTTTGCAATGGCAAAATGGGAGCCAAAATATCACCTTCAATCCAAAATGGCGGACTTCCTGTTGGGTTTGCATCACTGACTTTTTTATTCGTGTCAGCATGATACACATGTGGGTCAAATTTGATTCATGTAGCTTTAACTGTGTGTTCGTAGGACTGCATTTAACAACGCATAGGTGGCGCTCCAGAGCCATTTTCCAATGCTCATATGTAAAACCATTAAAATACAAAATTTTTCACCAGACCTGACACGTGTGCAAAATTTCAAGAGTTTTTGAGCATGTTAAAGCCCTCAAAAGGCATTTGTTTTGCCTGAATAATAATAAGAAACGGAACAGATACAATAGGGCCCTAAATAATAAATTATTATTAAAAACTCAATAGTAGAAATAAATAAATGAGAAAATAAATTGTTTTTCCACTTTTCCTCCCTCAGGTTGGACCATTGTGGAGAACAGCGACTGAAACCTGGTCTGAGGAAGTGTAAGAAACATTCATATATTAAAATTTCAATTTTCCTATGATGTAAAGAGGAACTAATCTGCAAAAACCAGCTTTGCAGTATTAGGGTCATGGCCTCCTTCACTGTTTAGTCATGGTCAATAGTCTGTTAGGATTCATTTCAGCTAATTGGAGTCCGTAAACTGGATATTTTGGCTATGTTTGTGCCTTTTGCAGCATTTTTAATGCAATTATCTGACAAATAATATGGCGGCTGTGTGGTTAGTTTTACTAACTCACTGTTCAAGTAGTATGAGCTCCAGTTTTGATGAATGAATTTCTAGAATTGTAATGTCACATATCACCAAATAGCAGATGTCTGTGTCAGTGTAAATGGTAAATGGACTGGTTCTTAAACAGTGCTTTTCTACCCTATCTTTCCCACGTATTCTATGCTCTTTCTATGTAAGTCCTATCTAACATTCACACATATTCTTACTCTGATCGGTCAACTTGGGGTTAGTATCTCACCCAAGGGTATTTGCCACACAGACTGGAGCAGATGGGTATCGAACCACCTTCAAATGTGGTCACTTCTACCTCCAAAAAACAAAAAATATTTGTTTTGTGAGTCTGTGGTTGGATGATAGAATAATACTTTGTGCTGTTGTTTCTTTCAGATTTCTGTGGGCTTGAACTGGATCCAAATACAGCGCACAGAAACCTCAAACTGTCTGACGACAACAAGAAGGTGACTGTGGTGAAAGAGGAACAGCCCTATCCAAATCATCCAGAGAGGTTTGACTACTGCTGCTGGCAGGTGCTGTGTAAAAATGGTCTGACTGGTCGTTGTTACTGGGAGGTGGAGAGGGAAGGGCAAGTTGTCATAGCAGTGACGTACAAAAGAATCAGCAGGAAAGGGAACAGTGCAGACTGCAGGCTCGGGTGGAATGACCAGTGCTGGAGTCTAATCTGCACTCAAGAGAAATATTCTTTTTGGCACAACAAGAGAGAACATGTTGTCTATCTTCCTTATGGTGCTACTCTACCTAAAAGAATAGCAGTGTATGTGGACTGTCCTGCTGGTACTGTGTCCTTCTACCAAGTCTGCTCGGACAAACTGACCCTCCTGCACACCTTCCACACCACATTCACCGAACCAGTCTACCCTGCCTTTGGGTTCGGGTTTGGGTTCTGGTCATATGAGTCCACTGCATCTCTGTGTGAGTTGTAGGAGAGAGTCTGCTCCTGACTGCAAACTACTGCTGATGGTGGTTTTCACTCTGCACACCACAGACTATAAACCAAAGGACCATGTAGCAGTTACCCTCCTACTGATTCTGCATAACAGAGGTGGTCACCAGACGTTTGGTGGTGAATGAATGAATGTCCTACCAAAGACCTGAAAATAATGTAATCCTTTTTTTTTTTTTTTTTTACCCCATGGTCATAAATGCATGACATGTATGACAGTATTGGAAGGGGCTGTGAATATAAACTTGCCAGCAGTTGACAGACATGTATGGTGTTATTTTTGTGCCACTATTCTGAGCGCACGTGAAAAAAATTTGCAGGTGCAAGTGTTGCATTTTTCGGAGAAATTTATTTTGAGCAAAGAAAAGCTAAATTTGAGTGAACAAAATTCATTGCTGCGTGCAAAAAATGCATTTCAGTGTTTGCTATTATCCATACACACACACAATAGCAGTGCCTCCTGTGTGGATCAACATGCATGTATTCCAAAGGTTTCTCCATGTAACGATCTGCTAGGGAGTGTGGGGAGCCATAGCCCCGTCCTCCAGGGTATGAAGCAGGTATGGAGGAGATCCAGGCCCCATATATACAGAGGCCCCAGAGTACAAGGACCCGAGGAGGACCACCAAAAGGGGGGAAACTGTGCCACCCTCCTGGGAAGAGCTGAGTAGAGCCCCAAACGAGAGGTCACCCAGCAGCTACGGAGCAGAGGCCAGAGGGGGTTGCAGTGGCGTGCCCACGGGCTCTGCCGGCAACCAGCTGTGCCAGAAAGGACCGAGCTTCAGGCCCAGAGGCCAGAGGCCTGAGGGCATCCCATCCCCCAGAAGGGGCCCAGCCGGGCCACAGGCGTCAGGCCCCGCCAATCGGCC